TTTCCTACATCCCTGCTGGAGATGCCTCACTGTAGCTGCTGTAAGACAAGAATCTTCAAAGCATTCCATCGGCTCCTTGGGTAAAATTCTTATTAGATTGGTTTACAGCATTGAGGCTTGACATTTTGATAGCTTTCTGTTATCTGCCTGTACTTTTGCCTTTACCCTAAATACTCGAAGAAGCTATGCTGCTGGTTCAACAGCTATAGGCTCAGGCTATATGGAGAGTGGCTGGGTAGTGACATCAAGGAGGCTCTCTTGCCCTGGCAGATAAGTATTATGGGGGGGTGAAGATAGAGGCACCCCTCTTGCCACTGAATTATGAGTTTTATTTCTTTGCTCATCATGGCATTTGGCAACACCTTGTAGAGGGAAGGTTAGAGGTTTAACTCCTTAGCTTTCCCCATAGCTATCAGGACCCTAGACCTATTCTGGCTCCACCTGGAACTCCCTCCCATCTTTGTAGAGCTGGTGCCCCACACTGTCAGGACCTGAGAGCTCCCTACCTTCACCCTGTGGGTCCTGGACACCCCACCCACAGCCTCAGGTGTGACTCTGGGTGTTCCTTCCCCGCAACTTTGTCCAGGGTGACAAAGGAGATCATTATGTCTCTGCCTGGTTTTGTAGCAAATCAGGGTAAAGATCCTGGATTGCAATGCCATATTGCAGCTGTGAGAGGGAATTTGCAAATGGCCTGCCTACAGGGAGATGGTAGCTAGTCGTTCGGTACCTTCCTGATGAAGAAGGCAGGATGAACATCACAAGTAGGCAGAGATGTGAAAGCCAAGAAAGGGTAAGCTCTCAGAGAGGAAAATGAGATCTAATGTCAAAATTAGCTGAGAACAAGGAGGATGGGGATGCAATAGAGGACCTGGCTTTTGTCTAGTAAAAGTTTCAGCCAATGTTTCAGTCCACTATTGTGATCACCAAATCTAAACTCTTGTCTGAACAGGAGGTGTTGATGTTTTGTTCAGATTGCTTTCAAAATGTCTGACAAAGAATGCTGAACCTCTTCTGAGCACCATTTCACTCAAAAATATAGCATACACACACCATACCATGCATATGACTTGACAGTGGACTGTAACTTGGGTCCACATAACTAGTCTGACTTCCTGTTTGCTTCTTCCACACACTGCATGTGTTTGGCTGACTGGGCTTGGTTTATGCAATCCAAGTTGTTATGTGGCATGTGAAATCTGTCCTGCACACTTGCTATGACTAAGACCTTTACTTTCAAGGCTCTGTCACTTCCAGATGGAGGAAACACAGGATGAATTCAATAAGATCTAAGGGCCTTGTTATATGTTGTACTTTGAGCTGCTCAAATGTTGAGCAGTGTTAGTGCTAGCTTGATTTTTGAGGAGTCACACCTTAAGGTTAAAAACCTTCTCTGACTGTCCCTGACTTGTATAGATGTGACTTGCCACTAGAGGGCTAGTATGCAGGACCTACAGCTGTGAGTTACCACTATAGGATGGTGTCGTGTGTGAGAGAGGGGTTAGGGGAGGGTGGGAACATGAAACTGGGAGGTGGAGATTTAATGGGATGTGCCTGGGTAATTAAATGGGAGGTGAAAAGGAAATGGGAGTGGGAGAGGGGTTGTGAATAGAAGGAAGTCAACCACTGAAGGATTAAAAAAAAAGTAAAAAAATAATTGAAAAGAAATAAAGAGGAAGTAAATTAAGTAAATCATGTTTTAATAAACTGGGATTTGGGATTGGGGTGTGTGGGAGGGGGTGCTAGTTATGCTTTCTGAGGTGGGAGGTAGGAGTGATGAGGGAAGGCACTTTGGGGGGAGATACTGCCTCTGCCCCAGGAAGGAAGTCCCAGCTCATGGGGACCCAATCTGGCCCCCTACTTTG